GTTCCCGGTCTCGTTCTAAGGGTTGCTTTGGGAACCAGCGGTGAGTAGCTGAGAACCTCTGGCCGCCAAGCTACACGTTCGTATTCACGTTTAGCTCGGCTACGATGGTGTTTGCGTTGTCGACGGAGGCGATGATCACAAAATCCTACTCCCAGACTCACCGCTATGATTTAGCGCCATGATTTTGCCGTTGCCTAAAATCGTAGCGTTGTACATCTCCCTGTTCATCTCTGTGTTGTATCTTGGTTATCTTACAGTCTATGATGAAGAACAGCTGTCATAGAAATTTACTACGGTTGTGGTTTCGTACTAATTTTGTTGCAGTGAATAAAGTTTGAATTAGCCAATTTGAAATCAAATTATTTTTGGATAATTTAATTTGAAGAATCATTATAAAAATGGCTAGCTTTCATCTTATGCGAAGCATCAGACATCTGCCTGGTAAATTAGCAGTTACTATTTTTCAGAAATATGAGGTTATGAAGAAATTTCTGATTATATAATTTGAAAAAAATATTTTCATCCAAATGTCTTATTACAGTCTCCACTTTTTGAATAATGTTTATATAGAAAGTTTATAATTCTTAGTATGGTGTGCTATAGTTTTTTGTTATATGAGACAATCAATATTTTTATTGCAGCAGCATTTGTTAAACAAGGCCAGTTGTCCTTTGCTAGAAGTTGCATACCTGCTGAACTTTTTAGACCAGCTTTAATTCTCAGCGATGCCAAATATAACACAATGACATCTTCTGTAAAAGATGGTTTTAAAAGGAATTTACCACAGGTTTGGCACCCAATGACTATTCAGCGACACACAAAAATAATTTATCAGTTTTGTAGAACCTTTAAAAGTAAATTGGACATTTTGTATGAGTAGATTTCATCAATGCCGATGATTGCAAATCAGTCGCGATTAGCAAGTACTGTTGGAGATCACGTCCGTCTGTGGCAGCTGGAAAGAACAATTGCAGCATCCTTTATTGGATTACTCCCTGCTTGTATCATTTTGGAGAATGCTATAGTTGATGGTCTATTTGGTATACTTCTTGTTATGCATAGTCATTGGTAAGGAATTTAAGTTCCCTTTTGTTTCTGATCTACTAATTAACTAAGATTCATTTAAGTTTATAGAAAATAATATATATTATATATACACACTAGGGGATTGGAAGCACTGATTCTCGACTACGCTAGACCTGCAGTTGTTGGAACTCTTCTGCCAAAAGTCTTAAACTTCCTTCTAAATCTAATCTCTGCTGCAACACTCGCAGGACTTCTTGTTCTTGTCTACAATGGACCTGGCATTGGAAAGTCGATTAAAAGTGCATGGGCAATTGGTAAAGAGGAAAAGTGAAAACAGAAATCTACATAGCTATACCCATCGGTCTATACCAAGACATTGTATTAGAAAACTAATTATCATATGTATATTATAAAGGAATAAATTATTAATTGTTTTAGCTATATTAATTTACGCTTCCCTTTATTTTTCTCGCTTTTTGAGTTCCTCCATATAACCTTTAATATACACAGCATATGTAATTAATACACTTCCACCTTTATAAAATATATAAATAGAAACGAGTTGAATGTGTCAGATTGTAACACAAAAAAATCTTTATTAATAAAAGTTGATTACAATCTTAATACGAATTATTGTTTCTCAAAAGGAATATTAGAAACCGCTTGTTTTGATAATCTTGCCTCTTTATTGTAAATGCTTAATTGCATTATCTATAATACTCAATTCCAAGGGTAATATGTTGCATTGATAGAACATATGCGATACCTATTTTGTATCTATTTTAACATATTGGGTGAATAGACATATAATATTAAATTATATCATATGTGTGTATGTGGAATAGCAATAACCCAGTATATTATAAAAACCCAAAGAGTTATACTAATCTTTCCTTAATTATATCTGAGAAATTAACTATACAAGTTGTAATCAATCAAACCACAAAATTATCCCCTTGCAAAAATAATTAGTCAAATAATAGTACTAATAGTGTTTATAAAACGCATATTGGTATTATAAGATTCGTAATTCGTTTTTCTTTCAATCATTATAAAAAGTTAAGAGAATTTTGTCCACGCGCCGTATAACAATAAGAGTGACGTTAAGTTAATATTTTGCAGTACTGTTACAATCAAAGTAATATCTATGGCTTACAAAAACAAATAATGCTTTAACGCCAAATTATAATATATTACTCATAACATGAGTACTATGCTTGAATATGAATCTGTACGCATAAGACTCCGAAACAGAAGATAAAATAAGTATTCATCTTGAATTCTTTTTATCTTTATACAATCCATTAAAGTAATAGCGTCTTTGCAAGCTATCAGGGCTTTGTAAAATAATTGTTTTTAAGAAATCAAACCATAATTACTACATGAAAGGGATCTATATAGTATTATTATTTACATTCCTTCAGCTAACTAATTCATGAACAATTTCTAATATCGTTTGGTACCAAAGGAAATATAAAGAATTAAGTTATTCGTTAAAAAGTATTTTTCACCACTGACTTCTTAACCTCTTCTCTCAAGATTAGAATCCAAAACAGTACGCAAACTCCATAAACTCTTTTTTCTTAAGGCATTCAAATAACTGTTTTCCACACAATTCGTCCTGCTTACTTTTCTCCTCTACAATCAAAATGTCATTGATATAATAATTAAGTTTAAAAATACAATGATCTTTTCATAAAAAATTAACATATCTCCATCATAATTATGCAGTCTCGTCTCAAGGTTATCCCACAACACATGAATGTAACATTCGATACTCCAAAATAATCTTCAAAACCCAACGCACCATTAATAACATATTGCATTCTCACAGTTTCATAAATAGATCCTATACCAATTACTACGATATATCAAATGCTTATCGAAAGAAGAAACATGAAACAAGCTACTTCGTACTCGTAGTGATTTCATGTATAATATTAAAAAATTGTAACAATTATCGTCTTTTGTTTGAACATACCATATTAGGTGACGTGGTCTACTCCTTTGAAAGCTTCAAAACGTGCTGAATGACTTCGTCAACGGTTTGAGTGGTTAACAATGATTTGACAGTGTCATCTTCAATGACAACTGTAAAAAGTAATTTCACGTTCTCCCTCAATCGTTCAGGAAATGGTTTATCGCTGTCTGAGGTGATTGGTTGATGACCGCAACGTCTGATAACAGCTTCCAAGACGTCCTGAATTGGTGCACTGGGCCATCCGAATAACTGATAATGAAACAAGTATAAGAAACCTTCGTACTCTGAACTAAAAACTATTATCAATAACAAAACAAATCAAGTACAGCTATAGGGTTAATCCTTAACAAATAACATGCCGTAATAAGCACCTGCAAAGTGTCTTCTTCAATGAGAATTGTCAAAAGCTCAACAATAGCCTTAAGCAACTGATCATTAGTCAGAGCCGTGGATTTTCCAGTTTTCAGCTTTGCAGCTGCGCTGGATGCAATATTAAGCAGTTGCGATTGCAGCTGACGATGTTCAGCTTCGCCCAATACATCTTCCAGGAGTTCGCGATGCTTTGTCCGGATGTGACGCATTAGACAGTCATGACGTATGAATGCGCGACCGCATTCTGCACACGACTGCGGTGGTTCCCGTCTGTGCGTGTTCATATGAGCTTGAAGAGAAGATTTGGCAGCAAATGATTTTGAACATTTGTCACATTTAAATGCTGGAACCAAAAATATGAAATATTATTGCATGAACTGCTTTTCATAATGCACAGTAAAAACTCACGTTTTACGCCACTGTGAAGAAGTTTATGCTTAGCTAGGTCTTCCTTTCGCATAAACGACTTTTCACAGACTTCGCATTTGAACGGAGTTGCTCCCTCGTGAACAAATTTCTTGTGCACATTCAAACGGGCCTTACGATTAAACGCCTTGCCACAAATGTCACAGTAGAATCCATTTTCTCCTGTATGATGAAACACGTGCGCTCTTAATTGTGCTGCTTGAATAAACGATTTGCCGCAGTATTGGCAGACGTGGGGTTTCTCGCCAGTGTGCGTTCGCTGATGACGATTTAAAGTTTCCCGAGCTGCGAACTTTCTTTGACACTAAAACAGTATTACGTTCGTTGTATCACATATAGGGTAACCCAAAATTGATGGACCTAATGCGTATGGCGATATTCTTGAGGTAAACGTAGGTAATGGGAGTGATCTTTGTTTTACTTAAAAAATACTTGGCTTTTAAACGAGAGCTTAGAACTTCATTGCTAAGCCATCACAAACTCTATAAACTAGAGTTTAGTTAATATACTTGATAATCGAGTTTTTCAATATACTTACAATAGGTCCTCCGCGTCTGGCTTGCTTGCTTGCAATCACATCATATCGAAGTATAATTACAATTTTACTAAATAATTATGCACGAACTACGCAACTTAATTAGGATCATTAAAATGATGATCTTTGTATTATATGTTTAATAATGAATTGTACTTACAAATTTACATTCGAATGGTTTTTCTCCGGTGTGTACTCGGCGATGCTTCTTCATCGCCAGGGTGGATAGGAATGTTTTACTACAAAGGTCGCACTCGATGGGTCTTTCCCCAGTATGCATGCGTTCGTGTATCAAGAGCTGTTGGTTTGTATGAAATTCCTTAGGGCAATGTTTACATGGCTTCTTTTGTCGTTGAGGCGTACCCGCGTGAGTGCGTAAATGCTCGCGCAAATTATCTTTGCGAGTAAAAATTTTATTGCAAACCTGAAAAATAAAAATTTGATTAAACAATTAAACGTAGAACGAACCGTGTTGTAGGTAATGAAATAATTTTTTTTCTTTATATCAGTTTCAAATTAAAACTTACTTGACATGAAAATGTGTTATGCAACTCGCCGTGACATCCAGATTGCATTTTGTGTCGATTTAGATGATAATTACGTGAGAAATACATGTCACAAGGTTCGCATCTGCGAAGACGAGTAATTAGAAGATAATCGTGATATGTGTTGTAATTAGAAATTTGTTTTTGTGTGCCTTTTTCTTTAAAGTAAACTTACTTGTAAATTTTTTGTGTCTTCGCATGTTTCGTATAGCGATGCTTATCCAAGGCTTTTTTGTCAGGAAAAGCCTCTGAACATTCTGTACAACTGATAGCATCATTTTCCCAGTGAACGACAATCGTGTGTCTTTCTAAGGAACTCATCTTTTTAAACGACAAGTTGCAATGCTGACATTTAAATTCACCGCCACTGTGTGCAGTCGTAAGGTCTTCGGCACAACAGTGACACTGGCTGTCTGGGACTGGTTTTATTACTCCTTTCTCATTGTTGTTCTTTGAATTTTGAGAATCTATTATAAAACCAGTAAGACGAATATCTTAAGGTTAGGAACAATACTTTCGGCATAGCTATTGACACTTTTATAATAAATAACAGTATGATACTACTCAATGCATACCAGTAGTGCTTGAATCTTCAAACAGATATTCATCTGGGTCATCCGCATTTGCTTCGTCTTCTGAGTCATAAGTATCAATACTTCGCAATTCCAATATTTCAGTACTGTCATCTTCTTCTCTACACACTTCTAAATGTTCCTTCAGCATCTGAATGTACAAGGAAATGACAGTAATTAATTTTGAGGTATAACAGTTATAATGATTAGCTTTAGTATGCTCTTCTTGCAATGATTTGATACGATAGAATGAACTACTTTTTGGTCACTTGACTGACAGTTTTTTTTAGATTCATAAGTCTGCTATGAAATTATTAAACTAAGTTGCACGAAAATTAATGTTACTTACATCTTCAGATTGAAATATACGATGACAAGTTACACATTCATAATCCGTCACAATTTGTATTATGTGGGTATTTTGTGAGAGAACTAAAAAGGAAGTTGTAAATTAAATAAAATAAAAAGCATATATTTTACATGTACTATAATTATGCACATAATACAGAGATACTTGAACAAAATGTAATTAATTTATTGGATATCTGTATATTCTGACATACTATAAGTGTTGTGTAATTCAGATAATATAACATATATGTCAGTGGCAAGACTATAGGCCAAAATAATGTTTGTATGATAAATAAAAAATATACACTTCAAATATTTGCATATCAATGAAGAAACATTTAAAACGCGTTATTTTCCAATATATAGAACTGCAAATCACATAACATACTAAACTACGTTATCAAAGTTTTTTTCTGGGTATTGATAGTGACTACTAATTAAAATGAGAAAACAAAAATAAAAATGAATCCAATAATTAAAAAGAGGTATATAATATTATAAGAAACATATTTTATATTACGGTCAAAAGCGTACCTTCATTCAAATCTTCTTGAACATCCTCGTTTGCTAATATAACAGTATCAGTTTCAGGATTGCCTGAAACACAATGTAAAAAATAATGAGAATACTGAAAAGAATCATCTACATGAACAGAACAATAAAAAAAACAAGAAACATACTAATTATGACCTCTGAAGCTTGGCCATTAAGAAATATAGTGTTCTCGACTTTAACGATTTCTGAAAGAAAGGTTATAAATCAACGATTAGTCAAATCTAACATTGCAAACAAGATTTTGTGTTTCAAATAATATATAAATCGTATCCTTACCAATAATTTCTTCCATGTTTGTTACTGGTCTATGTATAATACTTAATAAGTAAATCCAAATGTATACTAATCTAAATTCAAACTTTCTCACAATGACACAACTGGCACAAGCCGAACTTTCACTTCATCCCAACCTATTTGTATTTATCACGGAGTAATAAAAAATCTAATGAACATAATTGTTTATAAAACGTTGACACTGACCCTGGAAAATAAAATCGTAATATCAAAAGCTTATAAACATTAGCCCCTGATGGAACAACCACCTTGAGGCACAACGCGTCACAAAATGGCCTACATAAAGGGGCACGCCTATCTTACAACAGAGGACGTAAGAAGTGAAATAATGAATCTAAAATAGTTAAATAAGATCATTATAGTATCTTACCATACAATCAATACAAATAGTCATTTTAATAGTTAAATATTATTTAGTACCTGATATATAAATCAAATATTAATTTTTCATAAATATTTTTCTTGCACTCTGATTGGTTCCCCCACCGTGATGCCACACGTGATCACTTTTCTATCTTCAATTGGCTACACACGAAAATAGCGCTGCCAACTGGATAATAAATGTAGTACGGAAAAAATAAAATATGTTAGAGTATCAATGGTTCGTATAAGGACTCTACGTAGTTAATTTAGTAAATGCGACGCCATAATACCATAAGTGAACAATGCTTATGCCGTAATAATTTGTAAGATGCAACAGTTTGAAAAGAGGCCATTGGTCTGTAAACTAGTAAGTTGGCTAATACAGTAACCGCGCTAATATCAAAATTTGAATTGATCTACAATGTAATTATTCAATAAAACTTTGAGACTACTAAGGCTAAATCAAGTGGATTCAAAATTCCAATAAATATAAAACATATTTTTAAGCGGAATTTCAGAGGAATTAAATGATTTAAATGCTGTCGGTCGGTAATAAAGAATTCCCTTAAATTGCCGTTTACTTACCGACTGACGATAACAAGATAATTCTCTATTTCAAATCTAAATTCAATGATGGCAGTGAAAGTGCATCCAAGCAACATTCTATACAATGAATATTGCAACAGCCAGCTATTGTTCTAATCTGCCTTTATAACATTGTGTCTAATGATCACTATAGTTCATTAAATCACACCCACGTTATGTCAGAGTAGGATGATCTAATTTTTCTATTACTGCTGGAGGTCAGTACGAGGAAGATACTATTACTCAATAAGTTTGTGCAGGAAGCAACGTTACAGTAGTCGAAAATAGAATTGCTTACCACGTAATGCATGATTAACAATTACCTCGAGTCTATTCCGATCAACTTCTCAATTAAAAACAGACTAGTTAATTCATAATTAATTTTAACCAAACGATAAAATATAAATAGGTGGTACAATAACGAGACAAGTGCAATTCCTTTTAATTACGTTATAATAATTTATTTAAACATTTATACACCTATAATGTTCCACAGTCTTTAAAGTAGTTGCTCGAATATCTATAAGTTAATTTATTTATTACCTACAAAATAATAAAAGATGAAGCATTAATACAGTATCTAAAAATAATCAATGAATGGGTTATAGGTTATGCTGCTGTTAAATCATTTAACATCCCACAATTTTCACTAAGAACGGTGGGAAGCGTCCGGACAGTACATCTATAGAGCTGCAGTTATACATATAATCGTAATCATCTATCGTAATCCTATCTGGCGCAACAGAGAGCTTGCCTGAACGCATAGAAAAGAAATATTTTTTTCAAAACTCATGCTAAAAAGTGTCAGGTTACAAAAAATTACAAAATTATTCCAACACAACATATTTCTTGCAAGATTTAAGAAAATTTCTGAACTCTAAATTCTTCTAATACTTCATTACAATAAATAATAACAAGGACCACAGAGCCTTTCAAGTTGCGTCAGATTAACGAATGATTATCGAATAACGATTATCGATACGACTAACCATCGATATGCAGCCAGTCTGATATACAACGCGCGATTACTAATTGTTAAGCGCACGTGCGCCTTGCCACGCAGGTAAGAGACACATGAATACGATTAGAGTGACGATGATTATTGTTCATGCACTCGTAATCATAATAATTTACGTGTGTTTATTGCATTGTCTATTTTATTTAAACATTTAGCCATTAATGCGCGCCCATTAATCATCTCCTCTGACGCACGAATGCGAGCGACGTTTTTATTCTTTCAAAATTACTTTCATCTTGTTTTAAGAGACTGTTCTTTTTTTATTTCAGGTTGATACTGATACTGCTGCAGGACTGTTTCCTAATCCATGAAAATAAATGGCAAATATTTTATTGGCGATGACTGCTTTTTTTCGGTCGCTCGATGATCTTTAACGATTTACAAGAAGATGAATTGTTTTCGCGCGGATCCACTAAGAGCGTGAAATGTAGTGGGCGACGCAGATTCATTTTTCTTCTTCTGTTCTATCGTTTTCGTGCATACGCGACGAATTGTTTTACTGTGGGACGATGGAGCAGTGTGTGTACGTTAGTTAGTTGGCATTTTTTTTTTTTAATAATACTGTGCGCACTACGATGATATAATTCCTTCCCTTTGATCTTTTCGTTTCTCGCCGTTCTCAAACTCGATTTTATTGAACTGATCGTTTAACATCTTGATTAAACACTCAGTACGGAATAACACTGGATTTCAATTACATTCGTCTAGTAGTTTATATATTTTCTATTATGCCGTAATATCGTATGGTGGAGGAACTATATGGTCGTGTCTACTCGCGCATATATTTTTTTTTCTCATTTTCATATTGAGTTCTCTATTACTATATTTATCGTATCTCAATTTAATTTTTATAATACTTTGTCTCAGAGACTTACTAATTCGTAAGACCGAAATAACGATAAATTTCAATAGTCGCGTAATTCTTGAATTATTTGGTTAACTATTTAAGAGACTTTTATTATTGTTTTTCTTCGCGCTCAAATTTTCCTTTTCTTTCAGATACGATACATCTACTCATACGTTATCTATAGACACGAAGAAAACACGCAAGAATCAAATTGGTACATGATATGTCCCAAATGTAAACACATGCTTTAATGGGTCAGTAGCTATACAGATATGGGACTACATTAGTAGAGATTTCACAGATTAATTATACTATATAGTTATAATTTATATATTTTTTCTGATATGACGATCCGAGACTCTACTAGGTCTGTTGATACGTTAAATTAACCCACATAATCATTATTGTTATATTAAAACAGAAAAAGATGATAACATAGTCCCATTCCGGTATTGACCCATTTCCTTTGTGTGTTTGCAAGGGATGATTTTTCGAGTAGTAGAGAACATGCAGTAGAGTATAGTTCAGTCAATTAATTTTTTTAATTTCATTAACACTAGATTGCCCAAGGAAATCATTTTAACTGCTTGGGATATTTTAAATAATCAAAGGACTTTTATTATTGAATTGAGTAAATTTCTTATATGACCAGTTCGGCTCTGTATTGAATTAACAATTTTCATGTTTTTTCAATTATCGTCAAATGATAACATACAAGTACATGATAAATTGTCGATTTGGGCGCATACTTGATAAGTTGCAGTTGCTCAATAAGCTAAAGTAGTACTTGTTATTCGAATCTTTATGCAGTGATACTTGTTCTAACAAGTTGTTTATTTTATTTCTTTTGCGCCCTAAATTCATGAAAGAAATGTCGAATAGAAGTATATAACTGTAAATAATATGAAAAATATTAAAAATTAATTTTAAACAAATTTCTTTACACATTAGTTATTCTTTCACAATGCAGTCATTTTGACTGCTTTGGGCAATATAGGTATATACTAAGTTTCGGGCTTTCTAGTGTTAATGTCATTTCATTTTTTAAAATCTTTGTCGTAAACTTATATGATTTTACACGGGCGCATACTTGATAAGTTGCAGTTGCTCAATAAGCTAAAGTAGTACTTGTTATTCGAATCTTTATGCAGTGATACTTGTTCTAACAAGTTGTTTATTTTATTTCTTTTGCGCCCTAAATTCATGAAAGAAATGTCGAATAGAAGTATATAACTGTAAATAATATGAAAAATATTAAAAATTAATTTTAAACAAATTTCTTTACACATTAGTTATTCTTTCACAATGCAGTCATTTTGACTGCTTTGGGCAATATAGGTATATACTAAGTTTCGGGCTTTCTAGTGTTAATGTCATTTCATTTTTTAAAATCTTTGTCGTAAACTTATATGATATTCGGCGATATCGTTCATTTCAATTGTAATACTTACCGTTTGTCTCGGAGTATTCGATTAATATACTACGCGCTCGCTGCGCCATCTGGCGACAGAAAGCCAAAGATGAAATAATATTTCCACCTCGCATATTTGTGCGTGATTATTAAATTACTTGCGCTTCGTTGTGAATCGTTTACGTGCACGTTCAATGCTGAACGCACGATAGCGCTTGAGAACTGTTGAAAATATTTGATAGAGTTAAGAAGAAGAAGAATAAACGAAGAAGTTTCAAAAAACAAAGATGGCACATTCATACCTCTTTCGTTTATCGCATCCTATGCGTATCAAACGCAAATTATCGCGCAAGAATGATACACTGCTTCTTCATCCAGCTCAAGTTCATCTTCAAATGTATATTGCACGTAAACGAAAAACGTTGTGGTTTCACAAAAGTTATAGGCAAGTCATTTACCAATTGATCGTTTTATCAGTGACAGTCTCGATAATAAATGGCGGATACTCCTATATGTACATAAATAATAAAACAACGTATAACAAATTAGACGATCTAAGGAGCAAGAATAATTACAAGAATTCCAATTTGTTTCCGGGAGTTTCGCGAGCCGGAAACGGAATTTTAAAAATCGGATGAAATATTGAGGATGCAAAGAACACGTATTTCGCATCGAGAAATATTCATAAATAATACAAGTGCATTATTTAGGAAAAAAATATTCCATTTTCATCCGATTATTACGATAGTTTTATCAGAATTCAAAAATTGCAATCACTGCCCGTAGGATAACGTCGACATTCATTCCCGTGACGAACAACGGTTTTTTCTTCATATCCACGACAATACTAATATCATCATCATCTAAAAAAGCTTGAGTATCGTTAAATCAAGACGAGTTTCAGAATGGAAACTCTTGTTGCTCGAGTAATATGTATATATAGTGTGTGAATATGTTGTGCGATGGAGTCAAAGATATGAATATCGAAGAACAAAGTAGATCTATACAATTTGAGAGAACGTTTGCAAATGCAATAGCGTGTAGCGTAGCACGCGGCCACTCGTAAAACTAAAATAAATTAAGTACGACGATTATACTATTGGCGCTCAAAGAAATGTCGAAAGATCGATCAAGAATTGATCGATCGTATTTATTCTCTGTGGCTGGACGATCTTTGTGATCCTTTTAATAAACACTTTTTTAGATTAGTCACAACCGATATCAGATTCCTCGAGAGCACAAACGATCCAGATCGATACTCTTCGATCTTTCGAATAGTCAGCGCTCGATTCAGTGCTCGTAGTCAAATAAATACTAAACTTATTGCGAATTGCTCGTCTATCTAAAGGGCTACGTTTCGGTTCATATTTCATTTAAGGTGCGCATGCCGAATCATTTCCCCGTCGGTAAAGCAGTTACGCTCGGCGCTTTACCGGCCGGGACTGTCGATAAAGTTGCTGCTACAATTGAGCACAACAGATGATGATTCTGTGCATTCGATGGGTTTCTGAGAAGCTCACCGATTCCTACCGATTGTGCCGTTGTCGTCCACGCTCGTGGTTCCACGTTGAGAATAAAGCTTAATAAAGAAAAATACGCTACGTGAGTGAACGACGAATTCGAAGCTTGCGAGTCAGGCCGATATCCTTGATTTTCGTGACTTGATCGGCAAGATCGACTCCGTAACTCGTCGAATTGTTGTTTTCCTCTGAAACATAAAAGACATCACCTAGTTCCAGGAAATTGTGAAAAATAAAAAATTTCCGTATTTCGTTGAAATGCGGGAAATGGAGGTTATATAATCTCGGGAAGCTAATGATAACATATTTAGAGGCTGGATTATCTATGATATCAGAGTCGGTTAGAACTTTTGTATAAATTAAGAAGACCGTCGCGACGTTAATCATCCGTATAATTACGATTGATATTTGTACATATAAGCATTGTTAGTCTTTGGACGCACTGTACTTGTGCGTTGAGAACAGTTGGTATGAGTTTGAGAGTCACTGTTTGGATATCGTTGGACTTTATCGAGAGCTGCAAAACATCAAGGTTCTACGTAAGATGGTCAGTGGGTGTCATGACGGATTGAGAAGGCGTCAGCAGGTGCAATGTGGTTTATGCCAAAGAGAAGTGGACAGGAGCTATGACTTTAATTCATGAAAATCACAAAGTCTTAAAATATCATTTTGTCCTAAACGTCAATACCAAAGTAAGATGCAAGGCAGACAATTATTTAGACAGGACTTCCGTTAAGAATATTTTTGAATCAAAGAGAAAGTTCTATGACATATCGTGGGTGCAAACAAATTTTAAGGTTAGATTTCTCTTTCACTTTAAAATTACTCTACGTGACGATTGAATCTACATAAATATTTGTCTTGTAGAACAGGTGAAGTCGTGCTTGAAGAGAAATTACTTCTTAAACCCACAAAGGCTTTATTTCGTTAACCCTACGAAGTATTGTTATGATCTAATAAAAATATAATTTATTCTATTTGCTTTGTGAGAAATTTTATGCGTGTATGGATGTAGATTAGAATTGTCAATTAGTCATTAAAATTCGTCTAAATTATGATTTTCGTGAATCAAAATCCAGAAGGCAGCACCAAAGCTGTCATATTTTCTTACCGGTTAATACAATAAACAAACTAGGCTAAATAAACTAGGATGAAAGTCTAGGTGGGTCACGTCACTGTCTAAATTTGTACCAGCGCCATTTAGAATCCTTGGCAACTGACATCCGCTATGAATTTTCGATAGCAACGAGAAAGTCGACCAACTCGAATATTGGGATTCCCCGTTACAAAAAAAAAAAAAAGAAGTGTTTTCATAATATCAAAAAGTGATGCACAAGTCGCCAATAACAGTCGCAAATAGTAAACTGTGAAAAAAATGGCAGAGAGATATAGGCAAATCATAAAAGTGGAAGAACGAATATTTATTTAGTCAAAAGAAAAAGACTTCTCCGGTTAATTTAAAAGACACATTGGATTCTCATAACGACGACGTCGACGACGCCGTAATAAGATTCTCAAACGTATCTTGACATTCCCAGCCATTTCTGGCGAGGTCGAGGACATTTTTAACGTCCCTCCAAATATTTCCCGCGCAACCGCGACGCCCAATGCATTAAGGCACAGTGCACAACGCGCGCGCGATCACTTGCACCCTACCGCCACGTTAGAATGATCGTGACGCCAGCCATAAATTTTTCAAATGGATGCGTAACTGCGTGTAAGACCGACCGACTGACATGTTTATTGCCGTCCGAATATCCCATTGACATAAATTTTCTAGCAACTAGTCTGGCCGTAAGAGAGGAAAGGTGGGAGCTCGAGAAGTCGACGCCAAGTGGCGTAACAACTTTACGACGCCTAAGAATTCCGTAAGACCCCATAACAAAGAATTCATTCTCAAACAAAAAATTACTACAAGATCTTTAAATAGTCGAATGGTAAGGGGAGACAAAAATATTTTACATTTTTCTTCCGCCTTCGGAAATTCTACACCAATGCCCTTCCTTTTCCCGTAGGTACATAAAAATTCTGACTTACCGACATAAAATGGCGCGTCGTAAGCGTTGCAAGGACCGGCGTGTCGTGTCTCCAGAACGAAACCCGTGACGCAGGCGTCCTTAACGATATGGCACCAGCTCGGATATGTGATGTTGTTGGAGGCGCAGAGAAGTGACGTCGATGGATCACGATCACGATCCCGATCCCGGTTGTGTTCTCGATTCCGTTCTCGCTTCCGTGGGCAGCGATAGGTGCAGGTCACACATCGTGGATGACCCGATCCCATCTCTGTCAAACAAGTTTGACCCTCGCGACAACGTATCGTCGTGCAGTCAGCGCTCTCTGAAAAATAACAAAATTTATGGTTGATTATTGGAAGTCAGTGATGGACGATATTGGTGGGTTAGGTTGGGGGGGAATGATGGTAGAGGGGGAGGCGGCTTGCTGTAACATTAACAAAAGCTTATTAATTGATAAGGTAATTTTTCAATTCTTCTTTGTTCTTGAATATAACTATTATCGATTATTCGCACTGAGCATTTTTAAGGAATGTCTGACCTAGTTTCCATGTAAAGGGGTTTGTTTAGTATTTACTCCTGATAATACCTTATGTGCTTAGGAATGTTTGACCTGTATTTGTGATTCGATTATAAAGTCGCATTTAACTACGAGTGATTTATTGGTAACGCTTGGAGGCAAATTTACATAATCTTATTTTGAGAATTGAACGTGTGGCAATTGTGATTAACGCCAAGTGACTTTGTAAACGAGAAGCGAATACCGTTTGTATGCTTTAAGAACCTAATGGAATTTCGAACGTGTGATTGCGTAAATGGAATTCTTATTCGCGATAAGAAATCAAGAAGATTAGTGAGTGAGAATTTTTTTTTTATAATTTCGTCATTTCCAAAAAGTAAAGAATTGGATCAGCCTACTCTGTAATTTTGTTGGTAACCATTTTCTTACTGTATTTTTTTGTTCACCACGAAATTACTTACTTCTCATCAGGAATCAAGTGGACGAACAATTGGCTGATAAACTTTATGGTAACGAACTTTGAATCTTAATAATAGAACGCATGAGCGATGTACTACGCGGAAAAATTCGAAGCAATTATTTCGAATGAATGGGGACAGTGCTTAATGCCTGAGGTTATTGCCTCGTTAATACCGGACACGTTTTCAAATACAAAGTATCCCTTGGCACTGACCGTGGTACAGCCGGAGCCAAGATTTTCGGCAATAACAGCCACGAAGATTAATTGAGGGGTCGACAGTGCCAGGAAAATAGTTTACTAGGGCTTAGCACAAAATTAGAATACTATAACCTAAAATATATTATTCTCAATTAACGCAAAGAACGTCACAAATATTCCAGACGACAGTTGGTAACGTTCCAATAAGTATTTCAAACGTGTAAATTGTTCGCGGCCAGACAAAATATCCTTTCGTTCAATTTGAATTCTCCCGCCAATTTAGGCGCGGGAAATACGAAAAGTCAAGAATTCATCCGAGGAATTGATGGGCCTACCGTGAGAGTCCCTGTAAAGAAGCCAAGAGGATTCTCTCGTATTATCCCGAGAAGAGGTCCTCCTGGGGGACTACAAGGAGAAGTCCTCAAATACTAAAGTGCCAGTGGTGCATATATCGTCAAAGCCAGACACACGGCATAGAATATAAAAGGTATAGAGAAAGAGAGAAAGAGAAATGCGTACCAAGGTGCGCACGCATAACGTCGTTTCCGGTCGTGATTTATGATTCATAGATGGCGAAGGCGAACGCGCGGAATGCGTAGGACTGTCGCACGCATACCACTACATTAAGTATGCATAAATATATATATATATATATATTACGTATATTATATATATTATATATATTATGTATATATATATATATTACGTCCATTGAAAGTGGCACCACTGAGACGCAACACCCGCCAGCACCTTTTGAATTCGCAACGTTAAGCCGCGCTGCCGACGAGCGACAATTGGCGAAAATGTCACTCGTTTTAGAAACTCGGCTGCATTTTCACGTAAGTACCAGTCCGCGCCTATTTTCGTTTTTTACTGAATAAGTCAAGCAAGCAATTAAACTCATTCGGTCTGCTAAAAAAGACTTGACCTTTCTTGAGTATCGTCGTTTCCCGGCCGACGATTGGACGGAATAATAGTCGCGACAGCGACTTAAGTATTTCTGCGCATTGCGCTCTAACGCTCGTTCTCTATTGTGACTACGTTAAGTGCCCACTTTATGCAGTTGTTTGCACCGTTTGTCATTATTCAAGCGAATGGGCAAGATTCCGTTTCGGAATCACTGAGCTTTACGTATAAGAACGTTTACGTCGTTCTTGACTTGTTAGAAGCATCAAGGATATCGTGACTTAGATATATGAATATGAATTTTTATTATTCGAATGCAACCGCTCATGGCTGACTGCATTTAGAAGTGCACTATGCATGCGAGTGCATGTACGTAGGTATATGAAGAGAATCAGCTCTCTAATCCGGGCCCTTCAACTTCGAAGCGCACACTTCATTGAGACACTCGAGGAATAAGTGCGTAAGTATAAGTTGGTAGCGTGAATATAGTAAGTATACGTGTATTGGTTACTCGTACGAAGCGTGCCCTTAAAACGGAGCTAATCTATTGACAGTTGAAAGTTGGCATACTGGAATCAATCACACCGCTTACGAACAATAGAGAGACCGTCGTTCCCCTAGCGGAGTGGTTTTGAACTACTAATCTTCTAGGCGCGCCACCGTACGGATGCGCTCGGTTTAAACGGACCGATTTGCCGCGCTTTATCAGAGCACAGATGGCTGCAACGTTGGAAATGCGATGATGCAACTTGAAAATAAACGAAAATGTCGAATTCAAATGGAAATATTAGGAAATTTAAACAAACGCCGTAAACAAAGATTCCAGGTGGACACAGCGGCTACCGAGTAAAGCTTCTAGAATCATTTCCTTCGATTACAACTTCTCAAAGATTTCGCGGAGTGAAAACCTGGCTGGTTTCTATAGTCAGAGCATGTACTGCCAAGAACTAAATCCGTCCTTCTTCGTAAACAGTGTGGAATTCTAGCTCGCGAATTTTTCACACGTATAGGACGAAGTCCTGATGGTCGGTTTGCGCGGAAATTTTTTAATTCTCTTTTCCTTTTCTCTACCTCTTACGTTCCTCACTTGACAATCGGTAAGAATCTTGCCGGTCTCTTTACGAGGAACATGCAAGGCAAGGATGCATGTCTGGTACAGTGCTCTCTGGAAGAGTAGTACTGCTGATGTACGTGCGATCCTTACTAAGGCCCCGAGGGAGGATCTTCGTAAGGCCCGCCACGTTGAGATGCCCGGCATTAACCCCGGCATTACGTTCCGCGTACAACAATAGTGGAACCTGAGCTAGTTTCGCAGACGGAATCTTTCCTGAGTCCTGTAGAAGACCAACCGCGAGATCTGTATGCATGAGAAACTTCACGTAGAGAGCGCATGGGTCTCGTACGAAGATCATGTCCAGGTTACGCGTTATCTTCCTGATCGACGCGAACCTTGAGTATTCATTTCATTCGAGGTTTATCGTCGCTGAAACGTTGACGTGTTTGAATTAAATGGCGGGAGCTGAGATTTGTCCGATGCAAGAGATGTCAGGGTAATGGACAACCAGGTTGTCGTTAGTTCTTAGTACTACGTGGAGGAAGTGAAGGAACGGGCGAAAGGGTTATGAGGAATTTGCATATGGTGATATGGCGCGCGATTAGAAACGAGCAGTGGTGAAAGGTAGCTAAGTAGATGGATAGATATGCGGTTGGGTTAGGTTAGGGTTAGGTTGGATAAAGGAAACAAGAAACAGAACTTTCCGTTAGAGCGCCGTGAAAAGTTTTATAGATGGACAAGAAACGTAAAAAAAGAATATGGCGGATGCGCCTAAGGAAACAAAGGCTGACAGCACCGTTGCCGAAGATTACGCTAGCAGAACGAACAGTCTGATATTAATTAGCACTGACATTAAATAGATACGTTAGCAGTTGTAGTACCCGGCGTGTCCAGCTACCCGGGTAATTAACGATCTGGGATAAGATCTGTGTTGTCGGGAGTAAGCAGTGAGCTAGAATATAGTATATCTTGTGAGACATATACTGGTATATATTCTTAGGTTATGTACCTGTAGGATACTGTGAGTATATCAATTCCTCATGTGTAAAGTATGTACGGTCGATTAACAAGCTGCTATCAATTTTCTATACTGCTGATTGCACGGCTCCGTCGGTAATGGCGGGACGTTTGAAATAACATATTATAGTCAATGCTGTTTGCTACTACTGTGCAATAGCATTCTGCGAATTGCATGAGTAAATGTTATAATGTATGAATAATGGAGATTAGGTGAAATTTATTATAATGTAATAAGAATGCTGAAGGATAATGCCCTTCGATGAATATGTTCAACTGATTGTAGGAAGGAAGCGAAGCTCATAATTGAAGAAAATAAAATTGCTACAAGGAAAAGATTTGCCTTTAGGCTCCATGGCAAGATACAATACACAATGCATCATCGTCTATAAGAGAATCCAGTGACAGCAGCAAATAACAGATTGGCAAAGTTTCAAAAGGTCACGCGGACGTCCCTAAGGGTCACGCCTTGTAAAATTCAGGTAATTTATAACCTATTACAATTGCCGTGATGTTTAGGCGGGTCGTGATTAATTGACCAAGCACATATGGTTTTCTTGTAGGTTCCCCTTCCGTGTGCGGATCGAGATTCAATTTGTACAATTGGAGAAGATTTCTTATATGAGGATTTTGTTACTATTCTTTAAACATACTTTTTATTTACTTATCCAAAGAGAACGAAGTTAAATGCAAAAAATAATCGCTGTACAGAATTTCTTCTCAGATCTTCCTCTGGAGCTGCGACCTCTTGGACAGACAAGAATCCGTTGGTCAGTTTGGCAAACGTTAATTTGAACATGACTCTTGGAGGACTCCACGTGCACAATCTCGGACTGGTTCTGGTAAGAAAAAAAAGAAAAGAAAAAGAAAAAGAAAGCAAATTACTTAACGCGTTTACAACCAGACTCATAGTGCTCTTGTACGAGAAGAAGGATATAAGAGGTAGAAGAGTAAACGGAATGAAAGAAAGGACGAGGAGAGGACGAAGAAGAGGGGAAAAAAGGAAGAAAGCAAGAAACGAAAGAAAGAAAGTCGTGACTCGGCAAACAAACCGCCAGAACCTTGTGCAGGCATCTAAAAGTCTGCTGGAACTTTTTCAGGCTTTTTAAGGGTCTTTATGCTGATTTTATGGCATTGGTTTTCGACTGGAACGTCTTCAGGCTCTTGTGAATTTCTCTCTTGCTCTCTCCCGATGCTCTCATGTATTTCCTCTCTCTCAATCGTCAGGACCTCAAACCTCGCTACCACCTTAACCTCCAAAAAGAGTAGGTAAGGCCTAAGGTCTACCTGTCTGTCTAGCTACATTTCTCCTTGTCCGACTGGCTGCTCTGTCAGTACGATTGTGCATATTATGATATTTGCAGACGCAGACAAGTTTCGCACCTTCCACACGAGTATTTGCCGTGCGACACCTTCGCCACGGAAACCGGCCGCTTATTTGCTTATTGACTTATTTACTCCGACGCCATGGCGTAGCGTTGTGTACCGTGCTCTCTGTTCGCCCTACGGTGTCCTGAGTGCTTCTCATACCGGAGGACGCCTGAGGACACGTGAGGATCCTTTGGAAATCTCTGACGATGAGTATCAACCACATGACTTAACCCAACCCAACCTTCGCTTCTACTCTATACTCAAAACGATCATTCTTCATCCTTGACAGCCCTTATTCGTGTACTCGCCAAATCCTGATGCTCCGCGTGTATACTTTGCCAATGACTGTACTGAAGCTGTGAAGGCTATGACCCCTTGACGAGGAATACTGGCTTTGTATGAAAACCAAATTTGCCCAACGCTGTACGGTATTGAATTTAGTCACTTTTTTTATGGTAAAAATAATTTTGTTTAACATTTAAACTACAGATCAATCAACGTTATGTATAATAAGAATTGATCTGGACACTTCAAAAATTAATAGATACTAATAGGTATAGAGTTCTATGTAAATATTGTACTCCGCCTTGAAATATAGCTAAAAACGAACACTTTTGGAAATAAAAAATTTATAATTAATAAATGATAATACTTCTTGACAAAGTACACAAGCTTGCATTGGTGTACACAGCTGCGAATTGCAAGGCGGTTAACAATGATCGCATACCACCTTTAAAGCGTGGTCGACTTTAGTCTGTTCGTTTTCTTTTCAGGAAACTCCACGCTACCTCTTCGTCTAACTAGATGCATAACGCAACGTAACGCAATAGCTTACAGCAACACTCGTTGAAAACTGGCACGCGGCTAACTCTGCCTATAAGGAATCATTGCACGATCGCTTATGTCGCTCAGCTTTGCGATATAATCGCTCGCATAGAAATACAAGCACATAAATATTCAAGAAATTAAATCAGCCACAGTATTTAAGCCAATCTAAAAACCGTAATAAACGCGTGATAACTTTATCAGTTTCTAATACGACCAATCACAGAAACCTGTCCGTAATAACAAGATTCTTCTAAAAAGTCTCGACCGATCTTCCACTTCATATTTACCCGCGCGAAACCGGACCTACGTAAACGTAAACACGCCTATCTACTATTCACAATCTTTAGCCAGGCAGTAGACTACGATAAAGAAAAATTGTCATATCGTCTTGTGGCTCTCGGCAGGATCTTGTTATCTCCCGTAAATTTTTCCAGAATCAGATGCTCAGTAACGCAAGTAGATCGCACAAGTTCCAACGGCGTCTCGACGCCTTCATTCCCTGGCTTACAGAGGTCTGCATGCGACTCTTAAAGCTGCACTGTTGTTTACAGTATCGGCCATCAGGGGGATGACCATAGGACTCCTGGTCTAGGGATGGATTTCAAAAGGTACCACGGAGGTACCCAAGGCATTCAACTCTGGTCTTGCACCCGTGGATGTCGATGTCGACGTGGACGTTGGTGTGGATGTGGATGTGGATGGAGAGACTTGTGCGAGTCTCACAAAAAGACAAGCTAGCACATGGACGCCGGTTGGCGGTGGCCAGACGCCACGACACGCCACTCCATTCCACTCGACTGTACTCTACTCTCTACTCTCTCTCTACTCTCCTCTTGAGGCTACAGTGTTACTCTTGGGTCCAGGGTCCATGGTCCGTGGCCACGAGGAGGACCTGGTTGTTCTGCAGAATCGTGGACGCCGTGCCCTTTCTATATATGTATGTATATATACAGGGTGTTCCGAAACTACCTGACCCGGTGGGTATGGCGGTGTTCGGGAGGCTTGACTGATCACGAAAATGAGCTTCTTTTTGTCCGGAAGGTCATAGTTTTTAAATGGGAGCAGGTCAAAGTTGACCAATCAGAACGAGGCGTCAAAAGAAATGTAGGCACCTAGCTTGTTTCTTGTTTCCAATAGGCATGTCTTCGGCTAACGTCGTCCTGCCCGAAGCCACCGAGAAACAAAAGCGAGGGAAGAAAACTCAGAGTTCGTAGGTGCCTACGTTTCTCTTGACGCCTCCCTCTGATTGGTCAACTTTGACCTGCTCCCATTTAAAAACTATGACCTTCCGGACAAAAAGAAGCTCATTTTCGTGATCAGTCAAGCCTCCCGAACACCGCCATACCCACCGGGTCAGGTAGTTTCGGAACACCCTGTATATATACATACATATATAGAAAGGGCACGGCGTCCACGATTCTGCAGAACAACCAGGTCCTCCTCGTGGCCACGGACCATGGACCCTGGACCCAAGAGTAACACTGTAGCCTCAAGAGGTATGGAAGCAGACGGGGTTGGAACTGTGTACAGGGGCCCAAGGAGACAGCATACCTCATGCAGTCATGCCACGAGGCCCACGAGTCCTAACTACAAGGTGCTCAACTTTGTTTGCATCTAACTCTCCAGACGGATCTGATCTGGTGCACAGAAAGAGTAAAAACAAAAAGAAATATTAGGCCTTAGGTAGTTCATAAATTGTCTTTTGTTTAATTCTTCCCTGAAGCTCTCTTCTGTATTCTTCTATAATCTTCTCACTTCCATCCACAGTCTCTCGTCGATTGCCCATGTCACCAAAACCAATCAAAAGGATGAATCCATCACTTAAACCTCCAGCATCAAGCTCGACAAGGGTCTCTCATCCACTGTCAGCATAATCATCTCATAAGTAAAGTGACCCGTCAGGAATGCCACCCGGAAAAAGACTTGGGGCTCGTTTACACGGGAACTTTATACCCGGCACTTAACGTAGAGGAACCATCGTTTTCCCAGGAAGTGAGTGTCTCGTCTCGGTTTCATTGGCTCCGGAGTCCTCGTGACGCGTCGCACATTAGTCTCCAGCAACGGGCCGACCGGGCTGGTCGGTTCATGAACCCGGTAGAACCTGGAAGCCAGAACTACCATGGCTATCGACAATAAATTTTTCCAGCAACTCGACAAGTCTCTCGCACCAGGTTACATAAATATCTATACATACCCCTTTAACGAAATGTAACCAGTTTCGTTTTTCATTGAAGACCATCAGCGACCGCAGGCCACCGGCTTACCAGACTTATCGAGCTTAGGTCGGTTCGAAGCTCGAAAACTTCATTTAGCTTCTTCCACTGGATCCCCTCAACTGACTCGTGAACTTTGACTCCGTCGTTCTCTCTCTACCTCTCACTCGTTCTCTCTTTTTATCTCTGTCCCCTCGCTCCTCTTCCTTCTGTCCAGATTGAAACTCAAACCTGCAGGTCGCGTGGGCGCTGCTGCGTGCGGTGAATGACCGGAGGGCAAGGACGCCACAAGGACATGCGAACGTGTTACGGCTCTGCGCACTCATACGCCCTTACACGCACTGGTGCACACGAAATCGGCCTTTTTCCCCACGTCCGCCGATGCATGACCCTGCAGGGTTAAGATCAATTCACACTTGGTACCTTTACGATGGCTTGGTATATAACTTTCTGTTTCTAGGGTCGACGTGCTCCACTTTGAGCCCTTTCGACGTCCGTTTCTCCACCACGACGTCTACATGACACTTCAAGCTTCGTCTTCGTACTCAAGTGATGCCGTGTACTTCTGGACAACGTTCCACTCGACCGTGATTATCAGGAACTAACGAACAATCTCAAAATGTGGAACGGTGGCACGTGCGAGTAGTCGTAAACACTTTTGAGGTTAAGACAAGGACCTAGTTGACCCAGATCCAAGTGACTTTCCTGCACCTAAAGTATATGCTGGATTTACTTAATTGTACAGTTATAAGCTCGGTGGATAGAAGTGAATGTTCCGAATTAATTTATAATTAATTAAGCGATAGAGTACTGTCAATTAATTTTGTACTTGATATCCGCTTTGAATTTTATACTGTAACTTAAGACCTGGTTCTTCGTACCGGGTCCATGCCGCTTACGCTCGGTACCTATGGTCCGTATATACACACTGTGTATGCGTATGGATACTTTAGTCGAATATATGTAAGCCCGGTCGTGGCATAACCGTGAGTTCCGCGAAGAGCCACTCCGCGAACGGATACGTTTCTTAAAATAACGCGAGGCGCACGCATACGGGTGCATACGCAAGTTTTACGTAGGCATAAATGATGCGAGCGAAAACGTGTCGAGCCGCTTTGGAATGGCAGGTAAAGAAGTTCAGGTGTCACCCGTTATATGTAACAAGGCTGTTGGAAGTGCTTCAGCTCGGAATACCAAGAGGGATATCGTATAGGATTAGCTATATAATTTTTTTAAATTGATTATAAAAATGTACAATCTCCATGGACTACGGTTACCAAGAGTGTAAAGTAGCTGTCGTGCATTATTGTTACATTGTATTTCGCACTGTTGCGTCCATTCGGTTCTCATAGCTGCGCGTCGTAAATCTGCATGAAGTTTGCAGACGAACTTGTACGGAACTAGTTGGACGGTTCGAACTAGAAATATTGATACTAATTGGTCAGCCATGCATGGACATTACGTGACCAAGAGAGCGTACAACGACAGCTTGCTAATGTTCACGATGTCAATCGATTGCTCCCACTTTTACGCTCGAGTCCTTCGTTAAGCTTCGTTCACAACGAGCGGTTTCTGACGGGATTAGGTGTCAGTTGACTTGGACACCGAGGCGCAGTTGATTTTACTTTTTTCTAGTAAAAATTAAAAATTGACTAGGGATATTTATCGTCATAACTTGGATCTATAATAATTAGGTCCCTTTTTTTTAATTAGACACTGATAATTGGTACTCGTGAAGAAATGCAGTGACGACGGCCATTTTTATTTTAGCAAAGACCCTTGAAGGTTCCTTTTCCTTTTTTTTTTTTTTGTAAAATTGTTGCAGGTAAAATTATGTTAGGTTATGTCAGGGTAATTAAAGGTTAGTATATGGTTCTGGAGGTTGAACGCCATTTGGTAATGTATTGCCCGTGACGGCGGGACGAATGGGCCTTATCGAGTAAGAAATGGGTCCCTTAAAATTCGGATATCTACGAGACACGCGGTTCGTAGGCATTCGAAGAATTTTATTATTCCTCGTGGACTCCCGTTTAAGGACGCCATCTCTTGGTGAGTTTATGGCACCCTGTCAGGATTCGGGCGTGTGCAAGGGGCTCGAACAATAAGGCCCATTCCGATGCAAAACAGAAACCGACTACGTACTCGCACGTATGCGCACCGGCAAGTTTTGCTAATAAAAGATTTATTTGTCCGAAGGGCTTGTCGTTTACGTTGGGCCTTATTGGTTATTAAGGCCCAGGACGTGTAGCGACTGCCACGTGATATCCGACGAGGCTATTGTCAGAAATTCGAGATTCTTTATCGCGAAGATTTGTATCTATTTTTAAAAGCAATGCTATTTTCGTTGGGTCTTTATTTAGAACGGGCTTTGGGCCTTACATATACTGCGCCACGTTATACCATACATATATGTACACTCCGTTACCCTCCCCTATAGGGCGAACCGCGGTAAATTCTATTTTTAACGAGGTCCCTTTTTACGTATATTTAAACCCGGATCCATTTCGGTGGAATGCTACTGGCTCGCGGTACAGCGCGACGCATTCTCAGCTCCTCTTTTGGGCCCGTTGGCTCCCTTTCAGTGTTATTGGGTATCATCGGCTTGCATCATCCCCAAGATGAAAACTGATCCAGGCATCCCAGTCGTCTAAAATATGTATATTAAACCGAACGTAGCAATATTTCATTATTTTATTACATGGGCTCAGACCTACTGAAATTTTCATCCCTCCACATCAAGCCCTGATGAATATTCCAACGGAACTGACCACAAAAAGCCTTACACTACCAGATACCCTTACACTACTGATAATTATACCGTAACACCACCATCGCCTAGTCTACTTCAATCTACCTCTATTTATGTATTACCCTACCCTACCCTATCACAGCAGAATTAAGCCTGCCTTCCAACAGTGAGATAACCCACCCCTGCCGGCGTCTTGCGCTCCGCGACCTTTAACGTCGGACGTGCCGCGAGAGAACCGACGGCTCTGACCCGAGTACTTTCGCCGTCTGGGTCAGTGGTCCGCCGGGAGAGCATTAAAGTCGAGCGTCCCGACGCTACTTTAAGAGATCCAAAGCAAAAGCTTACAAAGCGCACTTTTAACTTTGTATGCACTACGTTCTCTTTAAGCTGATCTCAGCAGTACCTAACCTAACCCACTCCGTCACTCTAGCCGTTGAACTGGCATACCGTCATGGATATACCATAGGACATTATTCCACACCCCATGGAAGAACATTCATCCAGAGTACAGAGCGCCGTGTCTCGGGAACGTCCAAGAGTGAAGTTCTTGTATGAAATTAATTTGCATGTAACCCGTCGGGGGTCGCTTTTTGCAGCTACCAACAGATGCCGCGCGTCTCGATGTCTCAGCGAGGACAGCATCATCTATTATACCCAGGAGGCGGTTGCATTGCTATTGGGGCGTCGCGACGCGTCAACTTGCAGAAAGATTGATTAATCATAATCCTCGTCGCCGTGGTCGTCGTGCTTGTCCTCTTTTGAAATTGTCCTCATGCTTGTCTCGAGAGACAGGATGCTCGGACGTCGCGACGCCTCTCCCCTTTTCGAGAAGGGACAAGGGTCCCTGGGATTTAACATTAATTTTATTCTGGTATTCCCCTCTGCTCCGTCCTCTACCTTCTTCTCTTATTGGCAACCAGGAATACCTGGTACGTTATTCGTTTTTAATGGCACTCTTCGGTACCTGACTGCTGGTCTCATAGGACCCAACGGGGACCCACAGAATGGCTGAGGCCCATAATCCCCCCTAACCAAATAAATAACACGAGATCCTCGCGCACGCGCGGTTACGAGTTGAAATATATTGATATTAATTTCCTGCTACTGTACAACACGCTGTGCTGTACGTATTCCGGCCCAATGGCAATGTGCGTGACACACGTGGAACGCGTATCTCCAGACACGTCTCTGTGTATGCAGGTATATATACATAAGGCCCCTTTTAAACGTTCTCAAGTATGGGCAGCTAATAACACCGGACTCCACGGGGCCCCTTCGTCTTATTTATCGCCACTTTCGATTCATTTCTAGTTCTTTCACATGGCATAAGAAGTTCGATACCAGTCGGAATCACGTAGGGCCCCCTCGCTCCTCCTTTCCTTTTCTTCTTTTGTCATTCCCACACCATTGGAACCTCCGACGTCAGCATCGCCACCACCAGCAACCGGCAGAGAGACCAGTGTCCAGTGCCGCCGCTGGACCATTTGGAGCATAATACCGGCTGATATAATTTGTCACATTGGAATCTCTAAGCAAAACCAACGTCGGAGCCTCAAACTCGGCAGACAGTGACGGCGTCAAGAAACTTAATGTGAGTGTTGAACCGAAGGCTTTTGATTTCTTCTGAGATTTCATACCACAGTCTTCCTTTAGCTTCTTCATCAATTTCTTTGTCCACTCTCTTTAGCCAGTCCTCCTTATGCACCTGCCGTTGCAAATATTACCAGCTACCATGTCCGCAGTCCTGTATCTCTTTTCAGGCAGGTCGTAAAGATCATCCGCGGGACACGAGACTGTGCTGTTACAAAAGAAGTAAGTACAAGGAACTGATAATGAGCCGAAGGTTCTGCTGAGAAATCGTTCCTACGTCTCTCTGGGCCCCTGGGCCCAATTAGCTCCGAGCGAAACCAAGGATCGCGTTTCTGCTAACGAAGCTCTCCTCCAAGCGTCGCTCTTTCCAGGAACACGATGATGGGAGTACACGGGATGATGACAGAAATCACAGAGACCCAACGTGCACACAATCTGTGTACAGTAACCTGACACGCTTTTACAATTAGAACCGTGGATTTCTTTCTAGAATATTGAAGGAAGGCACACTGCTATTAGTCGCTGATAAGGTTAATCGCCGAGCGAGACGAGCATTGTACGGAGGTCATGCGAGAAAGACTTTGAAGCAGCGTACTCACCCTTGCAGTGGCCTTTATAGGCGACGGGAATGGCGCGACCGGCGCGGCAGGCGGCGAGACGCAGGTGACAGGCGCTCTTGTAGGTGTTTCCGTCGGCTCCGCAGACTGGGCGCACGCCCGCGACCTGGTGAGACGCCTGAGGGCACCTCCTCGCGCACCTCACGCAGTGCGGACTCAGATTCTGGTCCAGCAGGCAGCTTCGACCCTGGCCGCAGCGCACCCGTGCGCACGAACCTGCTCGACACTTTATACGTTATTACTCGCGGTGATAATCACCCCCGACACAGTCCTTCGTTCACCCCCAGCTCTCTAATGATTTTATGTATTTTTGTCCTTCGCACTGATCTCCTCTCGTCCTTTGTTTCGAATCATGCGGATACATTGACCTCTTGACACCGGTGGTTCCTGTCACTTATAGTTTTGACACGTGCACACGCCGAAGCCTTATTCAATAAATTATTCACGCCCCCATGAAGTCCCTTGTTACTTTGTTACTGTTTACGAGCCATGCTGCCCAGTAAATCGGTGTCGGATTACGTGACTCGTTACGCTACGCATGCGCTCCCTTGCAAAGTGACTACGTCATATTCGGTTAAACGGAGGGTTCATTGAATGCGTTATGCACGGAAGCTTCTACGGAGATGCGTCTCTGGGATCGTGTTACTCGATTGGATGGTTGAGCCGATTCTTATTACCAGGGAGAGACTGTTTATCCGATTGGTGGAATCGAGAGAAGATCAAACTGCGAGACCTATGGAAATTTAATTAAATTTTTTTTGCTCGGAGCATTGTGACTTTAGCTCTTTTTTATTTTCTAGTGATAAGTACTGATGAAACGAGCTTAACGTTTTTATACATTGTCATTCTTATACTCACTTTGACAGTGGCCGTTATAAGCCACAGCCAACTCGTGACTGCCCTTCTTACAAGCCCGCTTCTTCAGTCTGCAGAGACTCCTGTAACTTCTTCCGTCGGTACCGCAAACTGGCCCACCGCCTCTAGGGGCCTTACACTCCGGACTGCAGACGCACCTGGGTCTACCCTTGCGCACCACACACTTTTTTCCTTCCTCGCAGCGTACCTCTGCGCAGCTTTCTAAAAAAGGGTAATAAAAGAAGTGTATGAGTATTTTTCAAGATTTTTATTCCTTTTTCTTTCTTTCATTGCTGCTCTCTCACCTCTGCAAGGTCGACAGGGTACACCGCCGCCCAGAACCCTCCAAAAGAAGAGGGCGCCACTATCGAGGTCGTCCTCGGAGTAAGCCGTCGCGGCGGCTGCATTCGACGCACAACACTCTTGCTGCGTTACGGCCTGTGATAACAATTCCTTGCAGCGACCGTTACTTATGGAGGACCAGCATATACCACCTGCAAAGGAAGAAACAAAAAGAGCATTAGAAGGATGAGCCAAATTGGCAGAGACGCTTTGAAAAATACGACGCTCCCTTTCCCTCCCCCATCGCTAACGGGGACGACGGCCGTCGACGCCGCCGAGAATCGTGAGCTGGAAGGATTATCGTGATTCGCAGATCGACCACCGGTCCGAGTTGGACGCCCTGCAGCTCTGAGGCTTCTGAGAAAGCTACCACCTTCTTTTTTCACTTGTTTTCTTGTAACTCGAACTTCTTTCTTCTCTTTCATGCGTCAACGCAATCTTACGCAACGACCTGTCGAACTGTGACTCCCGCGGACAGTTCTCTACTGCCGTCGGGAGTGACAGACAGTGAAATATCGTTTGGAGCAAGATCACGCACTATAAATAGAAACTGTTCGCAGAACAGTCGACTGTTGTATTCTGAGCAATCTCAAAGAAGAGTAAAAGACAATATATTAATTTTGCAAAATAAAAAAAATTTTATCCCACAGATTCTATTTGTCTATATCATTCTTCTAGAATGCTCATAGTCTGTCACAAAATTTCATTCTCGCCGAGCCATCTTCTTGACAAGATGTACAGGAGTTCTCTGATTCTAATATTTGGTAGAAAATTCCATTTCCTCAACAACAAGTACACGGAAACTCTATCGCTCCACTACTAATAACGCTTTCCCGAAGACGGGGGACTTTTAATTCGCACGTATGACGTGGTCGGTGCGCGAGATTCGCAGCCGTCGGTATTCGTGTTTCACATTCTTCGTGGCATGACATCGGGTGCCCGGTGACTGACTATTTAATTTCATATTATCGAACGGTGCCATACGACAAGGATCGTAGAAGGTAAACGATCGTAACGTTACGTTCTAAAATACCTGTACTGTAAAGACTAACGACATTCGCCATTTTTCTCAAAGACGCATACCTGTCAATTTATTTTTCCCCTCAACTTTACATATTCGCTAAGCCCGCACGAAACGGATATACAATTTCTCCGTGGACGTTGGACATATAATTTAATTCAAACGATAATTCTTTAATCAATGCAATTTTAACGCCACGGGCGATTAATTAATGCCTCAACAAAGTCACCAAGGCGCTATCGGCTACGTCACATAAAAGTGGAACAAGGTTGGTTCTAATGGCAACGTAAAACCCGAGCAAGGAATGCCGTGGGAATGGCGGATAGAAAACCGTAGTGGTTAGCAGTTCGTGATTCTAGTCGTAGAACGCAAAATGACTGACATGCGAATGCCATTGGCTTCCGCTCGTTATGCAGCAATGCAGGCAACGCAACAGCAAAGGCAGCAACGTCGCCATTGATAAATGGCAAGCGTTTGTCCGGGCTGAACTATAAAAAGTCTAAGGGGTGTGGCCATTTTGATATGCATTTAAAAAAGAGCCATCTTGCATGACTAAGTAAACCGAATCAGAAGCAAAATGACTGTTAAGGTTATGTTAAGTTGTACGATTGTAAATTCATATCAAAACGTTCCCACCCACGTTACTACTGTCGAATGACAGGACGACGCTTCCAGGATCTCTAAGCGCTACGTAAGCGCACGGAATTTGCTTGCGAAAGGACGCGTCCTGTCTATGAGCGTCTTGACGCTTCTGTCTGACTTCGACGTCACTCCGGTTGTCGTGGAGCAGTCCGTATGCGTCTCCAACATACCAAGCAGCATCGGTCGCGACGTAACCTCGCAAAAGCTCAGGATCCTCTGCGGCGTCGTTATATCCTGCGACGACGTCTACGTGAAGTAACTCAGCGTCTAGGCCAAACATTTTACAATTAGCTCAGACCCATAATGCGTCCTAATGGCTATATAATTAACACAATGGACAATCGAGAAAACCAAACAAAAAGTCACTAAGAATGCAACGCTCTAGCATACTAGGAGCAGTGGTAGGTGCGCGTTTATACCCAGCCGTGCTCTACCGAGTCTCAGTGATTCTCAAACAGAAGCACGTTTGTACAATAAAAATATTTAACAATTAATTTTAATCACCCCAATTCCAATTATAAGTACAGCTCATTTTCTCTTTCACTAATCACTATCTACACGCATGATTAGTGTGCCAACGACAATTTTTGAGCGATTTTCTAAATACTATTCTTTCCCTAATTTAAGTGTAACGCGATACAATATTTTCTTATGCGATTAAGAAGCCCGTGTATAAATATTACTATTTTTCAATTTTCCAGCCACTATTGTACACAACTTTCTATACAAGGTTCGTTCGGCATACTAATGTCATATTCGCACGGAAATAGAACTGGTATTATGGAGATAACGACAATAGCTTAAAGGCTATAAAAGGCAAGAATGTATCGATGCTAATAAAAGGCAAGTATTCACGTTGGGAATAACCACTGGGAATGTATTGCGGGTAAGCAACAGGTCAGAAACGCGTGTCGCGCGAGTGACCAGCCTTATCAGAGGAACATTTAAATAACGAGGCGAGCAGTTTCTAACGTTCTACTAACGACGCGACACGCTGCATGCTCATGAAAAGGGAAAAAAAAAGAAGAAAGAATTACCGACACGAGAACTCGCTGCACCCTCCATCTCATTGTCAGTGCTTATTGTTGTTCGTATCGCATTGCCAATCGTCTGGCAATGTTGGATAGTAGCTACTAGTCTGCCAGCATGATTCAGTAACGAGATGTTAGATTATTTGTTTTTGTACTATTTTCATAACGAGTTAAGAGACATCGATGACCTGGCACATTGCTAACGAGTCGATTGGATTGTTATGATCGATTCTTTATGGAATGTAACAGCGTTGCTCGTGTGTCATTGCATTAAACGTCATTGGCAAATACAGTCGAGGCACGCATAATGGAATTATTTGAAGGTAAAATGTAAATGATAAAAAAGTGAATAAATTATCTGAGAATATATTAAAGAGTTGAGTGGCAATGTTATTCAATGGATTACGTTACTTGCTACGGTAAATATTTAACAACTTTTTTCTTTTAACTATTTACTCCGTACCTCAGATTTCTTATACTTACGTCATGCAAGGTAAAGAGTATCTTGCTGAAGCGCGAACAAGAAATAAGGATGAAATGTGACGCAGGCGCCAGCTGAATAAATTTGGACGCCGGGCGTCTTTGCCACATTGCCACTGACCTCCCTTAACTCGTTCGCCGTCAAACGGCAAAGAGAATGTCACTATTTTTACAGCGTTAGACAGGATCGCTCGTAAATTATGCGAACAGTGATTCACACCCGAAGGCTTGTTAAAGTTTAACAGTTAGACTGTTACGTAAGACTAAGGCCTCATTCACAGCGAGTAACAGCGAGCCGCTCTAAATTCCATCAGCGAGACCAGGAGCATCGGACTCTACTTAAATGTCGTCGTGCCTGAATTTTCAAAGAGAAAAACGTGAGGCGTTACAATTTTGTGATACAGATAAGAAGGCAGCCGTTATTCGATTGTTAGTATCGATGTAATAATTAATTAATATAATAATAATTTTTAAGTTATAAATTTGCTGACAGAAAATAAATCTGTTTCGTCTACTAACATCTCGCTATAGAAGTTCAAGGCACATTCTCACATGAACACCCGGAACGGTATCAATGCTAGAAGTCTGCTGCGCGACTCCAGACCCTAGGCAAAGGGTCAGGAGGTCACGTGGTACAAGGTAGAATATATATACCATACATTAAGAAGGAATTACGTGTGGCCCAGTTAAGGCTGGTCCACAGGGGGTCGCAAAAGCTGTCCTCGCTGTCTCGGAAGTTTCATATTTATGGGAAGAGTTCGGCCCACATAATACGCAGACGAAATAGCATGCCAGGAATTATTTTCTCGGACCCTCGAAAATTGTCTGCGCCCTAGAGAAAGTTAATATAAAGCCACAGTAATTAAATAATATAAATTGCAAGTATTATCCAGACACATAAATATTCCATATACATACACAGGTTCATCCCTATGCACAACCGTCTTTGTTCAACCTCTCACAATCTCTGTACCACAAACTCATAGATCATCATCTGGCTGTTCAAGAGCGTAGCCAGGGCTAACATTGCTCTCAAGGCAGGGTTCTCAATGCATACAATGCGTACAGGCACGTCGACTTTAAAGGTGATTGTCTTGTGGGCCTAATATGGTGGTTCTCAACTCTGTTTACATTGTCCAGCTAAACTCAAAGCACAGAACATATATACAAAGAATTAAGTAAGAGGCATTAGAGATTCTATGAGGTCATACATATATATTATACCTTGTGCAGTTCATGCACAGCTCCTTGAGAATGCTGGATGCCAACATGAATTTATAGTTCCCGCCCTAACCTCCTTAAGATCCTTAGAGCACCTTGACGATTTATGGCGAGCAAGTCTGGCCTCTCTCGATGCTGCGTTTTGCGTCTTGCAATTTGCGTTTTACCTTTTGCGATTTACCCAACCCCTAAGGCTGGGCTGGGGCTCGCGCGCGCATTTAGAATCGCGTACGAGACCGCATGCCTTCTTTCTTAACTTAAGAACTTAAGAACGACGAAGATCATTAAATGGCGAAGAAGAAATTCTCTGGAGAGAGTATGTGCATTGCCAGGGCACCGATGCTGCACCGTGGGTGCATTGCGCCCGGGAGAAGCACTGCGTGTCTGTGTGTGTGTGTGTGTGTGTGTGTACACATCCATAGCACAGCATCCTGGCCGAGTAGCTGGCGATCTCACCTGGGCGTGTTCACGTGGGGCTCTTGTCTGAGCACTGTGCTTATCCGAGACTCTTATCATAAATACAAGGATAATGCGAATCGTTGAAACAAAAAAAAAGCGAAAATATAAAAATGCAAGACTTATGGGTCTAGACTCTAGGCACTGTGTGTATATAATAGAGGTTCAGTATGCATGCATACGTGTACGTCAGTATCTGATATATAAAGTGAAGTCGATTAAATTCTTTGTCAGTTTATTAAGTCCACTAGCTGCTTTAATTACTGCCCTGATACTCTTCTTATTAGGTTAAGGCTGTTGTTCAACTAAATTGCGTGTCCACACGTACACGGAATCATGACGGTAGAGGCAAGAAAACCTTTACGACTGCTTTTCTGTTTTAGTTTTCAATTTGATAGAATGTTAGGTTAGACAGCTTCCTTAGGCAACCAGGAAGCCGAGTTATCTGGTTTTGAAATTCACAAAAATCTTCTTTTCAAGAATGTCGATTGAACTAGACCGCCTTATCTCGATGTATCTTTATTCTGTACTATCGCACGAAAACAAATGAGATAGAGATAAACGAAGTGTAGCGAGATTAACCGGTGTAGGCCCAATTGAAAACGCCATAAGAAACTGACCTGTCAAATCATGGCAGTCGCCATTACGTCTGCTTCACTTTCGTCGAAGTAGAATGTTTCGTACACTTAAGCGCAGATGACTCCTCTTCCATATAGAAGGAAAACGGCTGGACCAATATTTGGTCGAAATAATAGAAAACGTAGGAGGACAATGATGTTTAAGGTTATCTCGCTTCTGACGTACTGCTCTGTGTACGTGGCATACGTAAGACTGCGTTCACACGGCCGTCTTATTCCGGATTGGTTAATACCGATCTAAGGGAATTGACAAATCACAGACACTTCTGCTTCTAAGGAATATTTGGGATTGATCAATTCCTTTAGATCAGTATTAGTTAATGGGAATGAGGATCGCCGCATAAACGCAGTCATAGAATAGTTGAACAGCGGCCTTAATCGATTCTAATGATAGTCTAACCTAAAATAACATTTGAACGTATGTTGGTTTCTATGTTAAAGTGATTTGTGATTCTTGAGGAAAATTACTTGCTACATTGTTTTCTTTTTCCTTTGTCAAATTCAGACAGATGATCAGATAGAGAAAGTGGAATATTAGAACACGTGTACCTGGTACGTTGTAAAATTTGGGTCAGCCTTGTCAAGGATTTGGTAATGAAACCAGATTCATAAACGAATCAATGGAAAAATTGAAATGACTGACGGGTGTTTTTCTCGTGGTCTTTTATCTTCTTTTTTCCATTCTTTCTTTTATATCTTTTCGTAAAGTACACGAGGCAGATTGTGCACTAAAGAACAATGTACTGCTGGCGCATTGTTTTCCCGTGCGCATGCGCATTAGTATTTCCTGCTTTCTGCAGCCTACCGGAAGAAACCTATCTCGATTTCAATTGTATCCCAATTATTATGCTTTTCTAGGAACTATTCCATTCTAATATAACCAACACGTTCTCTGACATCTTTCTGCATCGTTAGAGAAATGCAATCCGGTATATCAAAGAGAAAAAAAAGAGAAATGTTGAATTCCGGAAATCCAATATGGTTCCCGGGCGCTTCAAAAGAATGTTCATAAAGGGGATTCAGCAGTGACGAAAATGATTTCTGCTAAGGACAAGTGCTTTGGATTAATAATAAAAAGATATATCCAGTGTACCAGCGGATCTTAACCCTTAAGGGTTCGGTATTTCGATAAGGTTACCTTCTTTCGAAACGATTCTCTTATCCCAAAGGTCAGATCCTATTTAAGATGATGTGAGATTAGGGGATATTCGACTATCAATCATGAAGGGATGAAGTTCGGTATCGTTTAAACCATATGGGACACGGCTGGCTACAGAATTACACGAGGAGTCGCGAGTCAACGACAGCGCCATTGTAAAAAGGCCGATGGGCTCTTTGGCGCGTAGGCATTTGCGGTCGCAGGACGGCAACTTCTTGTCGGAGACGCGAACGACACGCGGTTAGTCATCAAGAAGGAGAACTCAAGTCCCCAGGTGCCCTTCATCCTCATCCTCCTCTACATTCTCTGTCTACCCAGCAGTTGACCAAAACCACAAGCCCCTCGCCGACGCGGACCCTGTGATATTAAGTAACCTTAGAAACTCCAGGGTATCAGGTATATATTTTCACTCTGACTTTGTTGTGCAGCTATCTGATTGGTTGAAGGTGTATAAACCACTGAAGGTTAGCCATACTCTAGGAACAATCAAATGACGATGTGTCATTTAATTTAATATCGAAGAAACTTGAATGATCGGTTAACCTATTCCGATTGTGTTGCTAAAGGAAGGTGAGGTTTTATATTGGCAATCGTAACGAGATGGCACTTAGAATTAATATTTTTGTACGGTATGATCCAGGATCAATCGAGACGCTATCAGCCTAAGGAATCGTACGGGTGGTATCGCATCGCAACGAAGCCGACGGCTAGTGATACCGCACGAGTCGAGTTTTCGTATCTGTCGCTGGAATATGAGATCGACCGCATGCATAACTCGAGTGCTTGATAGTGGTCGGCCTCACCGCAAAGCCTTCGCCTGAGCAGTCCCGTGTCTGCGTGTCAATAACTTGGGCATTTGGCAGTCGAAAAGAAATTCCGCAGGAGGCGCTGCTTGTCATCCTTGTGAATAATATGAAGGACTTGAATTGACTACAGGTAAAAAAGGGTACAAGAAGAAAAATGTTATTTTCAATGAGCAATGTCCCTTTAGGTTGGTACTGATACTTTCTTCTTCATTCCTTTTCTCTTTCTTTGCTTCTTATTTTCTGATTCACTCCTCATCTTCTCATATTCACCACTTCTTTTCTTATATGCCCTACGCATCTGTATATAAGGATACTCGAATAGTCAGTTTCAGGATACGAAGAGACATGAAACCCTCATAAGTCAAGTTGAGTTCGGAGGACAAGAGATGCTTGAGGATGTATCAAGAGAAGAATAGTAGGAGAACGAGAGAGCTAAAGAGATGAGAGACAATCGACTATAAGAGGAGTACGCACTCAAGTAAGTTAAGTGGAAAAGTGTAAAGTAGCTACAGGGTGGCGTCTCGCTCGCGCGCGGTTGAAAAATTCGGGCAACCCCTGGGCTTGCGGCGACTTCACCGAGGGTGGTAGAAGAGCCTGGTGTAATGGAGGAACCAGTTTGCGGGTCAGTGCTCCGCGTCACCGAGAGGAGCTTCAGCCTCCAGACGTGCAGACGAAGCCACTGGCGAAAGATCGCGGGACGGGGGAGCACACAGGGAGACGTTGAACGAGGATCGGGATGATCAGGAGGATGAGGAGGAGGTTCGACGGGACCACGTTGCCGGTGAAGGAGGTCTTGGGCCCTACCCGCCTGGGTACGAGGGGGCCTCTCTTTACTCACTCATTCGCTCACTTGCTTTCTCACTCACTTATTCGCTCACTTACGCTTACTTGTTCGCTTACGCACTCTCGCGACTTGCCAATGCGAACTGAACTCAACGGGCCCCTTTTGGTCCCTTCTCCTCCTCACTGGGACTTGCCTCTTTCCCTTCAAGTCGCCCTTTACCTCACCTTCCAGAACCCTCACGACCCGCGAAACCGCTGCTGTTTCGCATTTCTCGTCCCTTTGCGTGACGTCCTCCTGAATAATCCTGGACATCTAAGACCCTGTGGCTAATCCAATAACTCATACTCGTGGACGATGCCCTTGTTTTGGGTCCATTTGCTCAAGATTTCAATAAATATGACAAGTACAATTTCGATAAGGATATAACAATACTTGAAGCAAGGATGGAAGGAAAAGTTCCTCAAGGTAAAAGCTAGCCATAAATTAACTCCAGAAGAACCTCTTGGTCCAACTGTATTGACATCTTTCTTTGGTCTGTTATAGTTCCTGATTCTAATCCATGAAATAATCCAATCGAAGCTGAACCTTGTCCTTCCAAGAAGAGATGGCGCCACGGTCAGTCAAGAATGATTGGGGCCACGAAGCTGTACGTAGCAGTGACGTGTGTCATTGCGTGAAAAAATATGCCGGGACAGGTGCGTGTCTGCGGCTCGGATTACTCTTATTAGAGACTGCATAAGAGCGAGAGAAAATATCAGAGAGAGAGTCTCTGCTTATCGAGGACCGAAAAAAGAACGTGGAAGAGAAAAAAGGTTAAGAGATTTCAAATGCAAAAAAAGAAAAGAAAATCCTGACTTCTACGTAGAGAGGGTATGTGGAAGGCAGCATAGAATGTATAGAACGTATAGATATACATCACAGTATTATAGAATGTATATATAGATATATTCTATACTTATACGCAGATCTTGCGACAGGCGGAACGCACCTGGCTCAAACTCGCTGCAACCGCAATTTATTCAATGCTAATGCGAACAGCCCTTGAATGCACATGCGTGCCAGGCGCATACTGCTCTTTACGCACAGACAAAAAGCCAACGGGGATAGACGCGTTCTTGTAGTCCTGCTTTTATAATATTTAATTTTTATGAATGCGGCAAATTAAAAAATCCAGGTCATACGCTTATAAACGTCGCTCGTTATGACTTAATCTATATATTACACATCTATATGTTTTAATTAATTCGATACTAATGCATCTTTGAAATAAGTATACGAGTTGGATACCAGTCCCTATTTAATTTATATTCTGTACATAATTGAGCTAGTCGTTAACAAGAGGAAGTCATTAACTTATCATTTGTTAGACCGAGTTATGATCAGCCGTTGATAAGGGTTGTCAGTGAGATCGGCTTCTAGTCGATGATTATATAATAAAAGGGGTCATTCGTGTAAACTGATGGATGGACCAAAGGCGGAAGTGGCACGTAAACTAAGATTATCGAATGAAACCAAGGTGTAACGTATTTTAGTTTGTCTTTACGTTGCCTGATGAATCTTACTCAATATTAATGATATTTATCAAACTATCGTTCTACGGATAATGAAAAAGAAATAAGCGTATCGACCAATGTCACTGTTCTCTTCAAAGTAATTCGAAAGTAGAGGAATCGTAACTTTGAACAAAGTCAAATCAGATTAATTTTTTCTTTTTTTTTTTTTTTCTTCTAATTTTCTCATGCCTTTCCACCTCTTCCACGTGGTCGTTCTTTTGACTGTTTCTTACTTCCCATTCACTTTACTGAACATCCTTTTTACTTATACTTTATTATAAATCTTTAGGACTATTACTAATTTACCTGTTGCGATTTCCACTTGCAGCAGAAGCAGAACGAGATTGACCAACAGGAGAGCGTTATAATAGCGGGGTGTCCCAGTACCCCGTCGCCCGCCCGTCATCAGCGCGTCAGCAGGCGCCCCGCGCCAGGAGTATCCAGGATTTTCCGGTCCGGAGAACGGAAGCGGCGACGCCAAACGAATCACCGCCACGACGCGTCCTCGTGCTTCACATCTCATCTGCCCACCTATTTAATTGGTGTACGAAGCAGCTATTGTTTCCGTCCAATGATGATTCAGGGACAAGTCAATTTAATATCAGGAATCAATTGAATTCTAGTAAGACTTCCGGTTTGACTTTTAAAGACGTCCAAAACAAAAAGTACAAATTTTCTCATAAACTCTATAGATCCCACGTGACTTAAAAAATTCTCTTGCTTAGCCCCAAGTCTCTTGTACTTCCTGCTTTAACTTCCGGTTCTCTCTTTTTCTCACACACTTCTCTGTTCCTCTATCACAAGATTTTATATGGTTCTGGGTCACGAGGTCAAATTCTATTTGAGTTTGTGTCCTTCACTTATTCACGAAGCTTTAACTTGTTTTTCTTTCTAATGAATTTTCAGTTCTTCGCTATGCCGACGGCCTAGGATTCTTCCCTCTGGTGCACCCTCCTTACTTGCTTCTCCTCGTCGGTCCTCGTTTGTCCTGCTGAGACTCACTGGAGAACACAGTCACCCCAATTAAATAAATAGGGACACATGTCACGATAATCGGCGGCACTCACTGCACGCGGTATGTACGGCATTTTCTCAATGCTCTTTCCCTTTCTATTTTTTTCTTTTTTTTTTTTCTTTCTTTTTTAGATTCGACCGTCTACCCTCTCCTGCTCTCTCGCTCTTCTTCTCGATGCGTTCCGCTTCCCTTCGACGCAAGACGACCGACTGCGCGAGACAGCGTGTATTTTTAAACTCGGCGAAACTCCGCGATAGCTTGAGTTCGCGTGACGCGGGATTATTTAAAAAGTTTTTACGGGACACTAATTTCTTTGGAGATAAATTCGAATTTACTCAAGAAACGTTACACGGCTCAACAGCCGAATGTACTTTTTACTTTTATTTCACAGCCGACCCGGTATATCGATTTTTTTTATTTACGTCTTTGAAACTCCATCTTTAATTGGACTTGTTAATTTTATGTTAATTTCACGTTTACTGTTCGTTCACGTTGAGAGTGACGATTACAAGTTTTATATATATATATATATATATATATATAGAGAGAGAGATTTTCTCTAAAATTATCCGACAAGCGACACTTTTCACGTTAAGTTTTATGAAAAATTACAATTTTTGAAAAACTGTCCACGCACTCCGACGACTCCTAATCTCGCGTAAACTATTACGCTTGTTTTGCTTTTCCTTGCCGATATTTTTTCGCCCAATTTTCGGCGTCCCTACGGATTTCTTTTTTCTCGTTACGGTTCCGACGGCTCTTCTCTTTTTTTTTCTTCTTACTATCCTTCGTGAGCGCGCTTCTCTCCGTAAATATCTATACTTTGGCCATTTACGCACACGCACGGTTTCGAACGCACGCACGCACTCACACGATACAACGCGCGCGCCCCGTGTGATACACAGACACAATGATTACACGGACCCACGAGAAAACACTCTTCTCTGTCTGTTTTAACTTTATTTATCTTTTTTATTCTCCTCTC